AGAAAGGAAAAGTGAGAAAGCCAGCCACTAGGTACAGGACTCAAGCCATGGTCAGCCATGTAGGAGTCCAGCACCCTAATCACACACCACCTGCCAGCCCCTCTCTCTGTTCTCTTCTTGGGTTTTTAGGCATGCTTGTGCATGCACACACGCAGACGCACACACACACTTGCCAGGCATGTTTCTCAAGGTGCCAGGTGGAGGATTCAAACCACTCAGTCGGCCTTGTGGGATCCTGTCGTACCGCCTTAACCACCATGCCACTAGCTGACCCTAAATTAGCTTTTTAAAGTTCTATCTCCAAATACAGTCACTTTTTTTTTCTTTTTAAGAGGATTTTGCTCTAGAGCGTGTGTGCTCTCCAGAAAGACAGAGAGAAACAGAGACAGAAAGCCAGAAATCATCCCCCAGGAGGGATGGCCACAGTCCCTTCTCCATTCTCCTCTTGGGATCTTGGGTACGCACTCACATGCACCCGGCATGAGTTTAAACCACCGGGTCCGGGACTCTAACCACGGTCGACTACGTGGGAGTCCAGCGACATAGCCATTATGCTAACTGCTGGTCCCAGTACAGTCACTTTCTGATGCAGGGGGTGGGTAGGGTTTGACATACGAATTTGTGGGGGATGTAATTGAGCTGTTAAATGGGAGGGAGGGAGAGGGCCTGCCACGGGTGTCTTCTCCAGGGGGTGGTTATAGCCCTCTGGGATTAGTGGTCATCAACGCCCGACCTGGTGACTGCTAAAGACTACTGAGTGACCTGTCACTGAAGGGAGGCGCCCTGTCTCGGGCAGGACAAAGCCTGCTTTGCAGAGAGAAGAAAGCGAGCTAGGATGCGTAAGGGGTTGGCAGGCCCCAGCACAAGGGCCTCTTGCTTTTTTCCAGGAGCCCCAATATTGCTCCCTATGGAAGACCTTGTCCCTCTGCACAACATCCTCATGAAAGCTGGTAGTAGGGACCCTTTCAACCCAAGGTTGAAATTGGAATAGGAACCCTTTTTTTTCCCCACATTTTATTTATTTGCTAGAGAACGCATGGAGGGAGGGAAGGGTGAGAGATCACGCTGCAAAGGGTAACATGGCCACTCAGCAGTCCTTTCCCCTCCATTCTCCTTTCAGGGTTTTGGGGCATGCATGTACATGTTCCTGGGGTTTTTTTGTTTGTTTGTTTGTTTTTACTTTCTTTCAATTTGATCAGAGAAGGACAGGATGAGAGAGAGAGGGAAAGTGAGAAAGCAAGCCTCCAGGTCTGGGACTCGAACCACAATCAGGCATGTGGGAATCCAGTGCCCTTAACCACCACGCCACCTGCCGGTCCCATGCCCGGTGTGTTTTTAAGCTGCCAGGTCCTGGACTTGAATTGTACCTTGTGGAGTTGGCTATGTGGGATCCAGCCACCTTAACCACCATGCCACTGGCCAGCCTGGAAACAGGGGCACTTTTAAACGTTCAAGGGCCACGTTCTGGCCCCAGTGGGCAGTTTGCCATGCAGCGGGGTCACCTCTTGCTTACCAGCTCGTGCGTGTTTCCCGGGTGCCAGGTGCTGTTTTAAGTCCCTGCTGTACTAGTGTATCAGGTAGTTTGCCCATCAGCCTGGTGCGCCAGGTCGCATTCTGCCGGCACGGCCTCACAGACGTGCACAGACAGTGCAGCAGGGCTCGCACCACCCTGCCAGCCAGACTGCAGGGCCCAGGTGTGCCTCGTAACAGCCCTCCGAGGAGGGTAGTATCCATTATTATACCCATTTTATCAATGAGGAGACTGAGGCCCGAACCCAGACCTCTGAGTCTCTTTTTGGGGGGAAAGGAGGAAGGTTTTTGTTATAGGGCATGTGTGCATACCAGAGAGACAGAAAGCAAGAAGTAACCCCCCCGGGGGGCGGATAGCCATGCCACAATCCATTCTCCATTCTCCTCTTGGGATTTTGGGCATGCACGCACACGCACCTGGCATGAGTTTGAAGCCACCACATCTGGAACTTAAACCACAGTTGGCCACATGGGAGCCAAGTGCCTTAACCAGCGCACACGGCTGGCCCTCAACCCAGGCCTCGGACACCTCGGGAGGCCCTTTCCTAGACCTCCCTAGGATGAGATGTCGAAAATGTGTGGGTGCCTGCAGAGATAAGCGACTGCGCAGTGAGCCGCAGGAACAGCGCGGGGCTGTGGGGCAGGGGAGGAGCGAGGCTGGGAGCTTGCCTGATGTCTGTGCTTCCAGCCACCCCTGCGTCGTCCTAACTGTCGGCAATGCCTGCCCACCACCCAGAGATGGCTCCTTGGCAAGGTGGGGAGGGCCAGTGTCAGAGGTGTCGCAGGGGGAGGTACCCGTGGAAGGGTGCCTGCATCCCTGGGGAAGCCACCTCCCAGCTTGGCAGTGGGTGCGGCAGAGGCCTGCGTGACCTTGCTGCCGACATTCCTCAGAGGCCACGTGGCCCCAACTGGCAGGGACAGCTGCAGACAGGAGCCGAACCAGCTTTGTTCCCAGGGTGGCGCCCGTTCTCCATCCAGGCCCTGCTCCGGCTCCTACTCCTCCGAGGCTTTCCTTCCTGGGGCTTGGAGGGCGGCCGGTGCAGTGGGTCCTGGGTCATGAGTGCCTAGAGGCCTGGGACCGCCAGGCTCTCTGTGTGTGGGGCACAGACGGTGGGAGGATGGGGCAGGACCAGACGAAGCAGCAGATCGAGAAGGGGCTCCAGCTGTACCAGTCTAACCAGACAGAGAGGGCGCTGCAGGTGTGGATGAAGGTGCTGGAGAAGAGCCCCGACCTGGTGGGGCGCTTCCGCGTGCTGGGCTGCCTGGTCACGGCCCACTCCGAGATGGGTCGCTACAAACAGATGCTGAAGGTGCGTGGACTCCCAAGTGGCACCGAGGGTCGCGGGCTGGACTCCCCCTAGGCTCCAGACCCCACTCCCCCAGGTTCCCGTGTGCCTCACGGGCGGGCGCTGGAGCTAGGACTCTATCCCAGGCCCTGAGTCTTAGGTGCAGGCTCTTGGCTTCAGACTTGGGCCTGGGACCTTGAACTGCATTGTCTGAGCCTCGGGAAACGGAGACTCCCAGGCCTCGGGGTCCAGAGTTCTGGGAGCTCAAGCCCAGCCTTCTGAGTCTAGGATTCAGCCTTCGTGGTTGGTGCTCTGTGTCGGGGACTGGGAACCAGAACTCCAGCTTTAAGGCTGGGAGG